ACATGTCATACACTATCAAGTATATCACTGAGTAGCAATGTGAAATGAAATGTGAAATATTTTTAATACTCTGTTTGCTCTTGTAGGTTCCACGTACCAGTGAAAACTATGTACATCGTTCTGGGCGTACAGCGCGTGCTAATAAAAATGGCATCACCGTCATGTTCATGGAACCGGGCGAAGTGAAAAACTACGTGAAGCTATATAAGACATTGGATAGAAGTATTGTCTTCTTTCTAATACTGCATGTGGACTATATAATATTTGTGTATTTATAGGTGAAGATCTTCCATTATTTCCTGTAGCTGATCGCTACATGAATGCAGTTAAGGAACGAGTAAATGTGGCACGTGAAGTTGATAAGGAAGAGCTTAAGCTAAAACGGACTCAAACGGAAATTGGTTGGATGAAGAAACATGCTGAAGAAATGGATATGATTATTGATGGCTATAATGATGATTCGTAAGTCAATTAGACATTGTAATAATGTTTTACAAAATTCTAATGTCGTTAACTTTAACTATAAATATATATATTATTTTTGTTAGCGATTTGAAGAGTTTAAACAGACACTCTAAGTAGACGATTTTAATAGAAGTAAGGGGTAGAATTTCTAGTACTCATTTTTCTTATAAATACTCCGTTAAGTACGTTGTAGTAAATAATCATTCCTTACTTTTCTTAATATTATGCTTACAAACGATATTATCTAAGAATGGAAATCTCACCAATCTCACAGCGTTAAATCAGTTTTTTCCTGAGGGATGATTGGTAAAGTCCAGTTTAGAATCAAATTTTCATTATGTTACGAATATTGCATTAGCATATAGAGCTCAAATCGGCAGTTAACACTAGAAATATTCCAACTTTGAAATGGTTGCCAATTTATATATCATACAAAAGTATGGATCAAGGATCAACGAAAACGTAAATGAAGTTAGTGTGTGAAAAGGGAAATTTGAACAGAATGTCCACAATATGGAAAAATGGAGTTTTAAATGGAATTTTAGCATGATAGTCTGGTATGGGCAAGTGTTGTCTCAATCACCTCTCTTTAGTGCTCTCTATCCTACGCCACTTCTCTCCAATTCCTTATTCTTAGTATTTTTTAAATGTTGTTGTTGTTATAGCTCACAGAGGTCTGCTTGTATAGTTCGTTTTGGGTCAACGGGCACTTGGTCAACGAATTTGACGAACGTATACCCTTCTTGGAACCATTATTTTTAGGTAGGTTAATGCAGCATCAAATCATGTTTTTAAGACGACTGTTTTCTTCTTCAATCTAATGCTACTCTGGCATACCATTTAATGCGCTACGATTTAATGTATCTTACATGGTTATAGCCGTTTATTGTACTTTCTTAGTGTTAGATGAAATTAGAAACGAGTTATTTGTATCAGCCACATATATTTGAAAGGATCCCCCTTTATATACTTTATAGTGTGTCAATAATTCATTTATACTACGAATTTATTTGGAGAATGATAACTTTTGGATTTAAAAACATAATCCTCGCATTAGAACTTAATTTCTAATTCGGTAATTACGTCAGTTTCTTCAGTCAAGAGTAGCTTCAACTGATATTCTTTACTTTATATATAATTACTAATTATTGGAAAAGTGTGTGGATGACCAGGAATATAAACCAAGATTATTAACGAAGTATGTAGATGATATCTTCGCGATAATACGCAGAAATAAAATAACTCAAATACTTCAAATTTTGAATTCTTTTCACACAAATTTAAAATTCACCATAGAAGAAGAAAAGAATAACAGGCTTCCTTATTTAGATGTTGAATTAATTAGACATAATAACCAAATTCACTTTCAATGGTATAAAAAGTCTTCAGCGTCAGGAAGATTAATTAACTATAATTCCAATCATCCTAAACACGTGATTTTAAATACAGCATCCAATTTTATTAGAAGAGTTCTAGTACTGAGTGACAAAATTTTCCATAATGAACAAAAGAACATAGTGCGTGATATTTTAATAAAGAATGACTTCCCCGTAAGGATTATTAATATGATGCTTAATAAGACCTTTAAAAAGCTCCAACCTAACAATAATAATGACAAAAAAATATATAAATCCATTGATTATGTTCCGAAATTGTCAAACCAAATAATAAATTCTAGTATATATGACAAGGAACGTTATAAAATTACTCATAAGGCAACAAACACAATAGCTAAATTATATAGCAATACGAAAACTAAAATTAATAATAAAGACAAATCTAATGTAGTGTACCAGCTGAATTGTAAAGGTGACGGGTACAATGTATGTAACAAAATATATATAGGTACGACTAAAAATAAGCTTAGGACAAGGATGGCTGGACATAAACACAATTTAAAAAATAAAAGTGGTGCTGAAGCCAATACAGCATTGGCTGTGCATTGTATGGAGCAGAAACATGAACCTGATTTTGATAAGGCAAAAATTTTATATGAAGAAAGGAACCATAATAAGAGGTACTTTCTAGAAATGCTCTCAATACTTCAAGTGCCCAATAATATAAGACTTAATTATAAAACTGATACGGACAACTGTGCTCAGGCTTATAGGAATATTATAAACAAATGACACAGGATGTTTGTAAAGCTTTTTTGTTTTTTTTTTTATAAAAATTTTTTTTATAATTTTAATTTTTCTTTTGTATTTTTATTGTTGTTTTTTCTCTTGTTGTCATCATTATTATTGTATTTATTGTATGATTTTTCTTTATAATCCGCTATAAAAATGTGAACATCCTATATTTTGTGTAGTTTTCCCTGAAGATGACTATCGAAGATAGTCGAAATATCGGAAATAAAATATAAACGATTTTTAATATAAATAATAAATTAGTGTCTTTTTATTTATATTAAAATTTGACCAATTAGCCCGGTAACAAATTATTATAATAATAATTTTTGGTCACAAATATAAGTATTTAATATTTATAATTACTAACATTTTTTTATTATTGAACTAAATTTAACTATTTCTTTCTAGTGGCAGTGATCAAGACGAAGACCCTTTCATACTGGAACGTCGCAAAAATCGTTTGCATTTAGAAAATGTTCGTGCAAAATTGAAAACTCTGCTTTCCCAACAAATATTTCCGAAAGGGTTCAGTTTTAAGTGAGTTTGAAATTTACATTAAAATTAATCCAAGTACTAAATATTAATAAACAACTTCTTGAAAATCCTTGCAGATATCCCACAAGTACAGGTCATCTAGGGATGCCGAATATTCCTGCTTCCGCTCATGATAATAGCGCCGTAAAAGTAATGAAAGATGCGATAGAAGACCTCAAACTGGCGAAGAAAATGCGAAACAAGAAGAAAAAGAACACTGGAGCATGATTGTCTTTCGATACTTGTTTTGTTGTACAAAATTGTCAAAGAAGTTTGAAGACGTTTTATACATTTAATTACTTAAATACAAGCTGTTAAAAAATAATAAATTAGTTGTAAATAAAAAGTATGTCCAAACAAAGAAAATTCTACACTGTTTCCAGTTTAGTGCTTCGACACGTAGTGACGTATTCCTTTTTCCATCAGTGATCGCGCATACTTGGCCAATAATGTAGTAACGGTCAGTGTGGGAGTAGTGAAGAACCTGCAAGGGTGAACGTGGAAAATAATAACTTCCAGTTGATGGTTTAATTTACTTACTCCATATACGGTTCAATTTCATCAAGTGTCCATTTGGTTTTAGTTTTAAACAAAATTTTTAAGCGGTCGTGTATGTTTGTAGGTAAAATTTCTTCCACAAGTGAGCGGACACTCGTTGTGACACCCTCGCGACAGATTATACCCAAGGCTCTGAGATATTTTTTCTAAAATAAAGATAAATAAAGGTAAATCGCATAAAATCATTTTAAATGATTTCTCTTTACTTACATCACATTTGATGCCATCCGGCAAGGCTTCTTGCCATGCACTAAGAAATTCTTCTAAGCGAAACTTGAGACCAGGCCTTAATATATTTTGCGCTACAATACGAGCTACCAGTTCTTCAATGTATGTGTATTTGCCTGGCTTATCTGTAGTTGGTGTCGTGTATAAATTAAATAAACCCTCAACAATCTGTCTCGGTGCAATACCGTTCAAAGCTTCAATCGTTTCATCCCTTTCAATTTCATCTAATGACCACGAGTTTTCCTCTATTAGATTCACCATAAGGTTCACAATACGAAACTCGTAATCACACTCCAACACTCGCATATAGCCGTTGTACTCGACGACTCTATAAATTCTTAGACCCTCTGTAAATTGCTTCTCGCTACACTGTATTGTGTCTAAGAGTTGCTCATAGCTGAACAGCAGTTTCTGTTCTATATACTCTTCATTCTCCGGACCCGAAAACCGTGTCAATTGCAGTAGTTCTCCCATTTTGCGAAAACGTGGATGAATCTCACGACATTCCAAATATTCATGAAATATGCGCAATATTTTATGCTGCTCGAGCACACGTTCTATAGTCGGCTCATCTTCTGTGCTGCTGTTTAGGCTTCGCTCCAATGAAACATTTCTCGTGCGAGGACTTTTTAGCGGACAAGTACTTGTTGCGGCGGCAAATTTTAAATCCGGTACCAACAGGAGACTGTTTGAAATTTCTGCACCTTTAATATCGTAAGTTTTTTCTTCTGTGCACAATACCACATCTTCATTGAGCCCACCTTTGAATTTGAGCTTGTGACCAAGACGTATTTCCTGCAACAAATGCTCATCCAACTCAAGTAGTTTAATGTTGTCTGCTAAAATGTCGGCTGATGGATAGTAGAGCGCCTATTATTGATATTATTTTATGTAAATGAAAATGTATTTAAATCTTGAAACTAATTTACCTGTGTTACTTGAGTAAGACTTCGCTCATCAAGTTTTGCATGCTTCGTTATCAATTTTACATCTTCCAGTGTTCGTACGTAACTACAAAATGCGTAAATAGTTTAAATAATTTCAATGTAAGTGTTTCGTACTTACAGGCCTGTATCGTTTTCTTCAACTTTTATATCAGATTCATCCATCTTCTGATTGTTATGTTTTTGTTGAGTGCAGATACTCCACCGATTTTGGTTTATATATTGGCGCCAAAACAAATCTTCTCATATCCATATGACATTGTTTACATTTTATATTGTATTACAAGACAGTTTTAAAAGCGTTGTGAAATATTTATTTTAAATGAGCGTTGCCACAGTATTCGTAATAATGAATAGTGTGTAACTTAAATTTTGTCACGATTACTATTTTCTAGATGTCACGAACTGACGTTTGATTTTTTGCAAATTACGATATTATTAACACAGAATTCGTAGTAATAATATATATATATATATATTACAAACACAGCGAAATACGATATTATAAACACATTATATATATGTATATATATATATAATAAACCTTATGAATAACTGAATAACTTAAATTCTGTCATAATTACGTTTTTTTGCGATTTAAGATATTATAAAAAAATCTTTATAGTAATTTAAAAGGCAGTATAGTTTGATTCCTGAAATATTGGTATTTCAACTTGTAAAATTTAACATGTAAAACAAACCATATGTACGTTCACCATATCAAGTTTAACTGTTATTAATTCCCATAAATTTTTTGTCGCTACATGGCGTGACTACTTTGTTTAAAGTAATCAGGCTCTATCAGCAAATATAACAGAAGAAGAAGTTTTCAATATTTCGAAAATTCGTTCTTTAATAGTAAGTCTTAAGAAATTGTAAATTACACCACTAAAACAGAATTAAGTAAAAACATTTTTAATGAAATTTTGATAATAATAATGCGACATACATATAAATATTCTTGAAAAATTTTATGATAGTGAAGAAAACAGATTACTGCAGTAATTTTCCTATTTACTTATTTGTGCTACCAGGTATTCGATTAAATGTTTTTTGTGCTCTTCTCTACACTGGGATGATTGGAAGGAATAGAGTTCTTTCACTTGTTTATATTTAAAATTATTATTGGTTTTTAGACTTGGCAACCCTAAAAAAGGAACTGTATCCTTCAACAATTTTTTCTACTGTTTTTTGTATACACTTATTTCGGAAAAATTTCTTTCAATTTCAATTATTTTTAAGGAAATAATTATTAACATGTACTTAGCCTTATTTGTCCTGCTATAAAGTTCTAAATAAATGACAGTGCAAACATGGAAAACAATGAAATATCAATGCTGATGGATGTTAAGCTCGACATACACGACAAGCGGCCCGAGTCAATACAGTTTAAGACTTGGTCCAAATGCCAAGTAAAAATTGAAGCAATCAAATGTCTTCCTTGCTTTCTGCGCATCACTTTCTCGAAAATGATCGAAGATGATGATGATGACACGGATACAGTTGAGCAAAAGCACCTGAGTGTTTCCATAAATGTACCTGGCGTTACAATCAGTCTTGCAGAATCTCGCACGAAACAGTACTCATATGGGCTTTTCTGGACACACAACCGACGTGCTTGCTTTATATATTTTGCTTTAGAAACAGAGGCAAGCTGTCGTCGCCACATGAAATGGATCAAAAAGTCAATTAAAAATCTGGAACTACATCGGCAAATATTTCTTGAACAGCGTCGTAACAGTAGAGGCCCAGGTAGATTCGTAACGCAAAGTGCATTAAAAGACAAACAAGAAATGCCACAACACGATGTTGAAAATAAATTTTTAAAAAAAGACGTTAGGTGAGTTTTATAGATATGCAATTTATTAACGAAAACATTTGAAGGTTTTTTTTTTCGTATATATATTAGAGCTTCAAAAACAAGTCTTGGTCCTTTACCTAATATACCTGATGGATTTGACAATAGCAGCTCATGGTCTCGGCGCGTTTCTCGTGTCTCCGAAATATATGAGGAAATATTCGAAGGTATGCAACAAACTGATTCTGCACGTTCATCCAGACGTTTTTCACGCACTTCCATCGCTTCGGGCATTTACGAAGAAATGAAGCCTTCTGCAGCTAATTTTAATGCTATTGTAGAAGAAGCATTGGAGTTAGCTCCACCATTACCACCACTACCACCACCCCGTAAACGTATAAACACTTTTGAAGCAGAAGCCCAATGTGACGTAGCAGAACTTGTACGTTGCAATACTAATCCTGAATCGGATTTGATAAAAAAGAAAAAGTATAAAAATATGTTGGATAACATTTTTGGTAGTGTGCGTTCAAAACGTGCAGGCAGTGTAAGTGAAAGTCAGGTCAGCACTGTTGATGATCTCAAAGGTAGTACTACTCCGGACATATTACAAAGGAATTGTGTTACCACAACCAGCACATTGCCGATGTACTCGAATGAAGTAATCACGGTAAAGAGGTCACGAAAATTACATAAAACTGGGATTGACTTAGCAAACTCAAAACGGAACAGTTTCTCAAGTCCAGATTTATCTAAAATTAACTTTTTAGACACATTCGATGAAGAAAAGGTAGCAGATTTACTATTAAATTCGTTTCTTAATAGTGATGAGTTGGATTTAAGTACGGCTAGCCTCGACGATTCAGCCATACTGCCAAATAGAAGCAGAAAAGTGGAAGTAGCAAAACTATTCACACAAGCTGACAAAACAAAAGCTGATTCAATGGTGAGCCTTAATATATCCGAGAAATTACCCAATAATTTTAATTTTTCCGCCTGCAACTCATCAAAAATGAACTTGATTGGTGCTAACGGTGCCGTGAGGTTGCCACAAATCAAAACAAATAAAATAATTATTGATGATTTAACTGGGTACTGTTTCATGGCACCAATTATGAAAAAATTGAACGATAACACATATACACATATGTTGGCACAACCATTGTTTAGTACTGAATCCACGTCTTCGGGTTATTGTTCTTCTACATCAACTTGCACAACATCACAAGACGATCAGTACCACGAGCCCACATTAAAGAATCGCGAAAATTTAGCAGTACCTGAAGAAAGTACAATTTATGAAAATATGCAGGGTTCCTTGAATTCCACTAACTCGAATGCGCTGTCATTAACCAACTCGCCAAATTTAAGTGTAGATTTCACCAAAAATCTGTATGAGAACTTGCTTACGGTAAAAGCAGCTCAAGAATTAGAGCAACCTTCAACTGGTTTAAGCACGAGTACACCCACTGACTCACCGTTAACGCAGACTACGCCAGAAATCACACCGGTTATGGCCGAAGAGGAAAATTATTATCAAACCCCACGCAAATCTATTATAAGTATTGATGACAAAGTACCGTCCTATTATCCAAATAGTTGTGATACTGTAAAAATGCGCCGTCAAAGTCCCTTAAAGGACACACCTAATTCTAGTTCAAGTGAGGTAAGTGATAAACAATATATAGTTACGCGTAAAGGTGAAAACCTAATATTATTGTAAATTTCAGAAATCTGCCAATGGGCTTAGCTTACGCCATTTAGTCAATATGAAATTGCATCGCGAACGAAAGGAAAACCTTTACATATCTTCGCCTCAGAAAATCATTGAACAACGACAAAAACCAATAACAAACATATCACCTGTGACTTCACTAAAACAGAAATCGAATAAAACTCAGAAGCCGAAAAAGACTGGTGTACACAAATTATCAGAAAATGTTTATACAGTGAAGCATACCAGCAGAAAATTGATTAGTAATAATAATAACGATGAGGCGAATGAGGCAAATGGTTTGACGGAAGAAATGAAAGAGAAATTGCAGTATGAACTTCTACATTTGGCTATGCTGCAGAACATTGATTTCAAATTTGATGATGGCATTTCACAAGCAATTCAAACTCCAACAACAACTACATGTGCCAAACAGAAACCAGATCAGGAGTCTGAAAATTATTCGCAGTCCATAAATAAAGTTTCGGACTTTGTTAAAAAATGTGTTACACCTACGGGCACAAATACACCAACTCAGACCGCACAACATTGTTTACAGCAGAGCCAGGAATCGAATACGAAAAATCATACTCCCAACAGAAACACTGAAGCCACTGCAGATATTATGACGCAATCAAAAGTCGAGAGCTCCAGTAGTGACTTGCATTTCAGTGCTATGAGAAAATTCGCTTCACTGCCGCGTTTCAAAAAGATTGATTTGTCTCCACTGAAGCTTAAAATCAATAACGTCTTGCAGCGGAGTCAGCATCACGAGTTCTGATTTTTAATACTTCTAGGCTTTGGCTTTAAGTTTCACGTATTTAGTGTAAGTAAAATGAATTTTTAAATAATTTGCCATAATATTTGATATACGCACTTGCTTAAAGCTAATTTAATCGTTTATCTTTAATCCTCACACTATATGTATCCATCATTCGTATTATTTGTATTATTTTAGTATTTTCATTGAATTTAACTGAAACTATATTTAAATAATTTTTAATTTTACAATCTTTAAATTTGTGAAAAAACTATTAATCATTCAGTCTTTTGGTTTAATTATCGCCTTTTAAAATGTACAATTATATTCATTTTCTTTATAATTCTCTTATAAATTATATTTTTCATTCTTTAATTAAATACTTTTGATTTATTTAGTTCTTATTTAATTTATTTGCATTATATTACTTATAATAAAATAATATTTATCCATTAAAAAATATTACAATAATCGAAATATCTGACAAGTTATAAGTTATTTCATAAAAATTTATTAATTTAGCACTCTTAAGATTATTTGTCTGCTATTGCCAGAAAATAGATCATTTCACTTATAGATTACAGAGGATTTTTTAACATTTTGAACTTGTAATAGGCGTTTTCTTTAACTTACTTCCTTTCAATTCAATTTTAAGTCATGTTGTAGTGCTCGTCCTACTGATGCCTAGAAAGTCTATCACGCTGAAAATAAAACAAATAAACAATTCAATAGCAATTAAAGAGGTGGATCGTAATGAATAATAATTAAAAATAGCGATTGTATGAATTTGGTTTGTTCGGATTCTATATCGCAGAAGAATTCCAATTATCTTTGAAAATGAATACAACATAAGGAATGATAATGAAACATTATCATTGTATTACAAAATACAAGAAATGAGAATTAATTTCAGTGAATAAATGAAAGGATTAAAGCAACTGAAAGATTGCAGAAGTTAGAAATCGCAATTGTAGCTACTGGTGTAGTCCACCTACTAGTGTACAAGTGGCACTTATTGACCTATTGAATTGGGCATATTTCTTCACCTCGATCTAGGCTAGTTTCAATCAGCATCTAACCAAATACTTCCTCCATCACACACAAGTCTTCTTTCCATTAATGTTCACCCATATTCATGCTAACCCATATATTCGTCTATAGTTGCACCCATATTTCCTGCTATATTAATCTGCATAGTCTACAATGACAACAACAATGTCGGAATAATAGAGGTGATACCTATTCTTTTTTAGTTTCTTACTGAAGGTGCAAAAGCTTAATTCAGTTCATAGTGTAGAGGTAAGTGTTGGTCATGATTGTATATGTTGATGCCACTATAACCGGATGTGAAGCGAAATAGTATTACGAGTGTTGGCAGACTTGTTCTCAATTAGCAATTTACACGACAATGTTACACTGCGATTAAGTCATCAAGTGTTTATCTCTAATCAAAATTTTTATAATCTCAAAATTAAGTATCGAAGAAACAAAGATAGTGCATGTCACAATAACTTAGTACGTATTAATATCTCTGACAAATAGTTAGAATAGGATGCAAAAATACAATACATTGTGAAATAACTAATTTCCTATTGTAAAGTCTACCACAAGGTCGTCGATACTAATTCTACTTATGGAGCAGAAATTTTAGTAGCAAAGGACAAACAGCTTAGCAAAGTTACAGTAAAAATAAAGTGTTTGAAGAATTGTGAAAACAACTAAAGGAGACAGAGTAAGATTCCCTGCCTATACGAACTACAGCAAATCAAACATAAACTTAAGTGGTTCGGTCATGTGTCAAGAATCGGACAGTTGAGAATTTCCAAATGCTCTCTAAAAACAAAGCTGTAGAGAGGCCGAGGTTAACATTTGAGGACAAAGTTTTAGAGATAGTGTAAAGAGAAATCTCTAAAAAATTTAGAGATAGTGTAAAGAGAATCTTTAAGAAAAGAAGAGTTCTTACGAGATCAACACGCTGCACGTTGCAACGGGTAGAAAAGGTTTGATAAAGAAGTGGATTAATGATATTATTGAACATGAAAAATGTCTTAAATCATGTATCGTACTTAGTCAGGTAAGCATGACTTCTTGGGATGTGTGTGGATATTGGGATATCTGTACAGACCGTGTAAAGAGTGTGCTTTATTGTGAATGTAATCTTAATAAAGCTTATTATGTGAGCAACAGTAAAGCACTTAGACATTTCGTTCTATGCGAACTTCATATAATATATTTTCAATTGAAAATATTTGGAAGAGGAAATGTCTTTCAATCCAGCAGTGTGTGATGAAATGGAATTTTTCTTTAAGTACATATAATTTTACTAATTTATCATGTTGAATCACGTTTTAATTGTAATTATTTTTAATGTAATTAATTTGAATAAATAAGAGTGCATTTGTATCATTTAAAATAGAAACTTGATCAGATGGAATTAATATTAACATTAAAAAAATTGATAATTGAATTGATATATCATTTTAATTATTAAGTGAACGGATTAAAAATGGTCAAAATTATTGAAATTAGTGATTATTTTGATTAACGCATTTAATTTTTTTATTTTTTTACGGACTTATTGTAATGTTTAATTCATAGATTTCATTATAGCCGCATATCTATAGCTCTCATATGATCGCTTAGCAATTACAGCTGTCTGCTGCTAAATAAAAAAATTTGCTTTAAATAACATTTAATTATGAATAAATGAATAATATTTTGAACCCATATCGAATAGCTTGGCTTAAGTAAAATATTGATTAGAAATCAATTATATTAATTGTATTAGAAAATAACTATATTATGTGGTTTTAACATAATGAAACAAAATTGAATACATATATATATATATACATATACATATAGATGTAATTGCTTATAAAAGAATATTATTTTAAGAATGTAATTATTAAGTTTAGCTGTTTGTGTGTGAGAAATGTGAATTTTATATATTACTATATATAGATAGAAAAACTTAAATACAAAGATATTTGGACTTCTCTATATGGATGGTATATTCAAATATACCATTCAAATGGTTTTATTAAATATTTTTTTATGTTCACCACCGATTAAAATTAAAAAAGGTTTTGTTTAAAAACATAAACATAATAATTAAATATATTTATGATTTGATATGT